ATTATAATATATTAATATTTTATTCACATAAATATTACATAAATAAACATTAAATTTCTAAAAAAAGAGGTTAAATTATTTAAATTATTAATTTAAGAACTTATTTATTTAAAAAAATTAAAAACTTAATTAAAAATTTAAATAAGTTTGTAAACTTAATATAAGGTTTTACCTAACCAAATCGTAGAATATATTTAGTCATGTGGATATTATTCTAACTTTGTTGCTTATATCAGTTATTTGATTGTCCTGCGCTAAAGACTTGTAGATATGGCACCTGGCCCTTGAGGTCTAGTGGCAATTTGCCACCCTGATGCATTCTCCCCTCCCCGGACTGGGTTCGAAACCCATCCCTTGCAAATATGTTTAAAAAAAAGACTTGTAGATATGGGAAGTTGGCTTTGTAAGTAATTTACAAATGGGTTCATAAAAAGGAAAACAGTGAAAACGTAATTTAAAACGTGCAAAGTAAATCAAATCTTTTAACCTTAAGGGTATTACACTAACTATTGTAAAAAGTACAATTGAGGTTTTTTAGAATTTGAACTTGAGTTGATGCTAGTATGATGGGTCTATTTTAAGTTTTTTGTCAAGTTTAAATTAAATAGAAGTTCTGTTTTTAAATATTTAATATATAATTAATTTTTAATACAATTAAATGAGTTGAGTGGAATTTAATTTATAATTTGAATTTGATTCTACTTGATTTTTTTATTGAGTGTTCAACTTAAACTCAGGTCAAGTCAGGTTCTCACTCAAATTTTACTCGAGTGGCGTAATTCATTTACAGCCCTAATTACACACTGTCTTTGAAGTCTTAATGACTACAAGAAGAGTGTTGGAACTGCAAAACTAACAAAGGTTGGGGACCAACTTATACTTTGAGCTAAAAATTAAGGACCAAAGAAAGCAATTTGCCTTGGACGGAGAGAAGAAAACATATGTAGTGGAATTCATCACGATTCACGTGCTAAAATATAATTGAAGTTAAAGCTGTGGGGCGGCAGGCAAATTTGAAGAAGTTTGCAAGATAGCGCAATTTGCATCACTGGTTACCATTAAAGAAATTTGAAATGTGATTTAAAATCCGATCTGATAAATACACGGCAACAAGGCTATATTTTCAATTAGAGTAATGATATGCGAGATGATTTTGAGAGACGAAATCATGGGATGAGAAATGAAGCAATTTCAATAGTAATTATTAATTTAATTTAATTTTATTTGTCGTTTTGTGATTTTATCTTTTAAAATCGTTCCACGTATCATTATTCTTTCAATTATATGTTACTGTTTGTTTGATGCAAGTATTAAGTTAAAAGATGTCAGACACACATGATGTACCAGACACCCCCCATAAAATAAAAGGCGTCGAAAAGAAAAAAGACACCCCATTGAGGTTCTCGAGAATTTACAGTACTGACATGACTTTAATAAGTTGTGGACTACTGGTATGAACTTTAGACATTGGAATTTTGATTTCGCGTCTACACTCCTGATCTTACCAATATAATTGATTCTTCACGGCAATTTCTGAGAAAATTCCTATGAAGTGGTCCACCACTTGGTGACCCGACGGCCACTCCCATGCAGGACGTGCTTAGAACCAAATCTCAAGTTCCTTTTCCCTAAAAATTTCTACAGTGTTCAAAAAAAATTCCTATGAAGTGTATCTCTTCTACTTTTGCTTTCATTAAGATATTGGTAAAACTATTCTAATTAGATCTATTAAAT